CTTCATCAGTCCAGCCTTCTGACTTGGTAGAACTGGATTTATAGGGGATGTCTCTGATACTCTGGTACATCCAAACAGCATTCTTGTGTCCTGACAAATTTAAATTCTTTCTTCTACCTCTATTAGGAGATTTTTTTTTTTTTGGCCATTCAATGTCATTTAGGAGGAACCAATAATTACTCCAGTTTGATTTTAGCCAGCTACTCTCTCCAGAGAGCCCAATCTTCTGTTGGAGTGAGGGAGGGCAGCCCCCTGCTGCATGGGATGGAGAAGGGGACCTAGAGAGGAAGCTGTTTCTCAAACAACTTTTTACCTATTCCCCTCATTTAAACCCCTCATGTCCCTGAGACTCCACATGTCCCCCTCATGTCCCTGGCCTAGACCATTCCAGAGTCTCTTCAAAACTGCAGGGTAAACAGGGCTGCTTCTAGCTTAGTGTGGCATCCTGGAGTCTGCAAAGTCTGTGATCACTTGTTCAGCTGCCTTTCTAGTTCTACACTTTTGCTGTTGTTGACACCACGCCTATATTTTCTACTTCTGTGATCTTATTTCTTAATAAAAAATAATAATACTGTAGTTTCAGAGCATTTCCCAAGGGAGAAAAACTAGAACTTAATGCTCAACCCAACACCTTCACCTGAGATCTGTGGGCTTTGCCGGATGGGGAGGTGGGTCTAGACCCTTCTCTGCCCTGTGGGTGAGGCAGGCGTCAGAGTTTCCACCATGATAACATAGTCAGCCTGACTTGAGCTCTGAGTTTCGAAGTCTTACACCATTGATCTTTGATAATCACTTGCAAAACTCTTAAGAATCTGGGGTTTTCCCCAAACTACGTCAAAGCACAAATGATATTGGGGAGGGGAGTTACCCAGGTATGAACTCAGGTTCCAGTAAGAATTTCTAAGAGATGGATCTGTGAGGGGGAAAAGATAGGTCCGGAGTGATGATACAAGACTAGGAATCCATAGCCATTCTACACTGCGCCATAAGAAAGAAGGTGAAATAACAGTGAAATGGGTGTCATCTGTACGGGGGTGCTTTTCCTTCCCTCCTGCTTATTTCCTTGAGAAACTTCCACATATTTTCAGAAGGGGAATGGTCATAGAAAATGTTCCTTTTCATCCCAGGCTTTCTGCTCTTCATTGCCAAGGATGAGCTCCTAAGATGGGCAGATTGGCACAGTTTGTCACTTGACATCAGTTAAACCATATAAATCAGAGGGAAAAGCTCCATATCTGTTGCCTTTGTAACAGGGTGGTCCCCAGGAAAGGGGGAGGTTCTGGGTTCCCTGCCCCACTGGTGGAACCCCCCCCTTTCCTGGGGACTACCCTGTTACACCTTCATGGGATGGCCTCACAGCTCAGGTATTTATAGACTCCTGTGGTATATTGTCCAAGCAGGTCTGGTTTTGTTTTGCCCAGATCAGTCTTTGATATCTTGATAGCATTGATATTGATATTAAGGTAAACACATAATCCTTGATATTAAGGATTGCCTCTTGATATTGAGGTAAACACATAATCCTTGAAGTGGGTGGGGGAACTCACCCCACTGGCATGGTCTCAGTCATCAGAAATAAACCATTTGTCCATCAGCTCATGATTCTGTCCCTGAAATGATTATTGCCATCACTGTTTGGAAGAAAGCACAAAAACCAAGTTAGTTGAGGCAATCCTTTTAGTTAAAAATGCAGATAAAATGAGATATGTTTACCTTTTTCACCTAAGACTGTCCCCTTGCAAGCCTGTGACAGAGTTGGGCATTCCACTTTAAAAAAAAAAATTTTTAGCTTTTAAGTGTTTTCCAAATTGTTTCCATTACAAATTATATTATACTATAGTTTTGTTGATAACACCTCTTTCCACCTGCATTTTGGATTATTAAGTTAGAATTCTAGAAGCTGGCCCCAGGGTTCTCCAGGACACTTTATATTTTCTACTTAGACACCCCAGTGCTACCTTTAGCTGCTAGCTTCCTTGCACAACTGCCCTGTTGCAGAGTGGAAGCAGCAAACACAAGCAACCAGGAGGTTGTCTTGGTGGTTTCCTGTTATGGCCTGTTCTCAGCAGGCTCTTTGATATTCATGGATCCAATCCTAATGCAACCACGTGGGCAAATTTCCCCTGTTGTAGATGGTGATATCTCTGGTTTGTCTCTACTTTAGATTATGGTGAAAAGATGGGGTGAGGGTGTAAATTCCAGAGTGAGGATAAGAGAGCTGCAATTGACTACAGGCCTGCCATGTACTCCACCCTTTATACTGATATCTCATTTCATTTTCTCACATACTCTCCAGAAGGAAGCTATAATTATCACTCTGCATACAAAGCTAAGACAGAGAGCACGATTGCATTCCAAAATTAAACACTAGTGATGCTTGCAATTTTTATTCTTTCATACTTTCTTTCTCTTGAGCTTCCCTAATTCTAAGGGAGTTCTCATCTGACACCCCAGAGATGGTGTTCAGTCACAACAGGATGCCTTACCAGAATCCTGCCCCTTAATCTGGCATGACCCTTTGTGTTCAGTTAGTTTTTGCCACTACAATGCTTATGTAATAAGGGTTGGAAACAAACCTCTGGTGTATTTAATAATACAAGTGTTAATTTTTTCTACATTTGGGGTGATGATTTAGGTGGGCAACTGTGTAGGTCTTGAATGAGATCACTTATGTGTTGACTTCATGGAATTAACTGGCTGATCTAGGTTGGCCTTTGCTGGGATGACTAAGACTTCCTACTTTGACTGCTCCTCTAGGTGACGCCTGGGCATATTGCCATGGCCCTAGAAGAGTTACAAGAAAGAGCATACTCAATTGATCATGCTTGCCAACATCCCATTAGCCAAAGAAAGTCACCTGGCTGAGCCCAGAGTGAGAGAGAAGACACTGTATATAGGGAAATGTATAGATCTAAAGGCATGAAACATGGGGGCCATGAAAGCAATGAATCTTCTGCTCCCTTCCAGAAATGAGTGGGTTGGAGATGGGGAGGTTCTGTAACTTCTATCCTCTCTCCCAACAATTCAGGGGACTCATATTCATTCTCTTGAACCAGGAGAAATTAAAGTGAGTTGCAAAGATTTAACTCTCTAAATCTAATGCTCAATTTTGAAATCACACACCTTGTAACCCTGAGGCTCTGACACTTGCCAGTTTTAAGGTGATTGAGTTAAGAGTTTGGGATCTGCAATCCCTTGGACTGAATTTGAAGTCTAGACTTCAGTTTATTAGTTGGGTGACCAGTGGCAAATCACCTGTGTTTCAGTTTTCACAAACAAAAATTATAACTACCATTCAGAATTTTCATAAGACCTAATTAAGATGAGGTATATAAAGTATTTCAGGTCTTACATTTGATTTCGGGTCTTATATTCAAGTCTCTGATCCATTTTGAGTTAATTTTTGTATATGGAGTAAGATAATGCTCCAGTTGCATTCTTTTCCATGTTGCTGTCCAGTTCTCCCAACACAATTTATTGGAGAGTCTGTCTTTCCCTATGCTTTTGATTCCTTTGTTATAAGTTAATTAGCCATATATGCATGGGATTTTTTCTAGAATCTGTAATGGTGACCTGTGTGTCTATTTTTAAGACAATACAATACTGTTTTGATTACTTTGTGATATAATTTGAAATAAGGGTGTATGATGCTTCAACTTTGTTATTTCTTAAGATTGCTTTGCTATTGGGAGTCTTTTGTGGTTCAACACAAATTTTAATTTCCCCATTATTAACATCTTGCATTAGTGTGGTACGTTTGTTATAATTATAATTAGTGAATTAATATTGATACGTTATTACTTAAAATGTCCATAATTTACATTGTAATTCCTTCTTTGTGTTGTATAGTCCTATGGGTTGCTTTTTTTAAAAAAAAAAAATATTTATTTATTTATTTATACAAGCACTGGGTACAGTCAGAAGCACGGGAGAGTGAGAGAATTCACCAGAGCCAGAGCAGGGAACAGAACAGGCAGACTGACAAAGTACACTGCTGAGGGGAGCAGCGGGCATGGCAGGAGAGGTCTGCGCCTCATATGGGACCCTCGCCAGTGGCCGGGGATCGAACCGGCGCTGCAGAGGCTGCAGGCAGCTTTGCAGCCCAGCACTCAACCGCTGCGCCACCAGGGGAGGCCCAGTTCTATGGGTTTTGACAAATGCATGATGACTTGTATGGCCTGCCCCAAAGTGTCCTATGCTCTACCTATTCGTATACCAGGGTGGTATCCCTCTGTGGTTTATATTTGATTGTTTTATTCATTTACTTCACACTTTTTTGATCACCCCTTCCTTCTCAAACCCCTGCAACCACTGACTTTTTATTGCCTCTATAGTTTTACCTTTTCATATATATGGAATCATATAGTGTATAGTCTTTACAGACTAGCTTCTTTCACTTAGCAATATACACTTAACACATCCTTTTGTGACTTGACAGCTCTTTTTTAATCACTGTATAATATTCCATGGTGTATGTCACCAGTGCTTATCTATTTATTCAACTATTGAAGCATAGCTTGATTCTTCCAATTTTTTGTATTATAAATAAAGCTGCTATAAATATTCATGTTCAGTTTTTTTTATAGATATGTTGTCAACCATTTGGTAAATATTCAGGAGCATGATTACTGGATTATATACTAACCCTATCCTTTTTTTATAAGAAATTGACAGTCTTTGAAAGAGACTCTTTCATTGTGCATTCCTACCAGCAATAAATGAGAGGTTCTACATCCTTACCAGCATTTGGTGTTGCCAGTGACCACTCTGAGAGTTGTGTTGTGGTCTCTTCTCACTTTAATTTACAATCCCCTTATCAATATAACATAATGACATGACTTTCATATGCTAATTTGTCATCCATACGTGATCTTTTTTTTCAATTTTAAAGGTAACCATAGGATGCAGTGGTAGGTCTACCCCATTTGGCTACTCACCACAGATAGAGATCTCCAGAGAAGCTGTTATTCACTTCTGAACTGCACACACATGAGACTTAGCAACTCTGAAATATCCAGAACAAAAGATCTAATTAAGGTAAGCGTTAATAGCCATTCTTGGGAAATACAGGGTCACATAGCAGGGGCAATTTTATGGCTCTGGGGGAGAGACAGATGGAATGTCAATATATCAGATGTCTAGCTTGAGAGGTGGGTTTTTTTTTTTTTTTGAAGATTTATTTTATTTATTTATTTATGCATTCAAGAGCTGGAGTGTAGGCCAGAGGTGTGGGGGTGAGGGGGTCTGAGTGGATTCACCAGGGACAGAGTGGATTGACTGAAATACACTACTGAGGGGAGCAGCGGGCAAGACAGGAGAGGTCTGCTGCGCCATGTGAGTCAGCTCCCTGGCCGGGGATTGAACTCATGCTGCAGTAGCTTTGGATAGCTTCACAGTGCTGAGACTTAACCCCTTTGAACCACCATGGAGGCCCTCAAGAGGTGATTTTTAAAAAATAATCTTTACCCATCCCAGAGTTCACAAACCCTACGTAAGTCTAGTGGGTGCTCACGGCCACTAAAAGCAAGCCAGGACATTTTTTCTGAAAATTTTCTCATACTTTTCTGAAGGAGAGCGTCAAAGCATCTCTGAGAGGGGAAGGTAGATTGGAAAAGACCCCTCATATCAGCAAGCATCTGAGAGGGCATCTGTGCTTGTGGTAGGAGCAATGCTTCTCTCAGATAACTGAAGGACATGTGATTTTTGTACTCAAGGAGGAAAGTTGGCAAACAAACATCCCTCCTTCATTAGGCACTAATTTAAATGGTCAGTCTTAATTCTCATCAAATCCTGAGAAGCTTCATTAGAAAAGGAAACTGAAGCTCAGTTTAAGAAATAGGACAAAGTTTACTCTGCTACAAAGAATTCTAAAACTTAGAAATCAGGGGGCCTAGGTGCCCAAAGATTTGACCTGTTTACTCTTCCTGTGAAATAAAAACAACTTAGAAAAGAAAAAGCATTTGGCTCAGGAGATGTGGTTTCAAGTCCTGGCTGTATCTCATGACTCTGTATAACTGTCGGCACTGGACTGAAGCTCATCCCCAGGAATAATTGTAACCCCAGAAATAGAAAGGAGATATTAATGTTTGCTTCAAAAGAAATAAATGAAGAAATGCATCTAAAATTCCTGGCCCGCTGCGGTAAATGGTAGATATTGATCCATGGATCTTATTGATAAAAGATCTTATTGGTAAAAGAATATAGAGGGAGTGTGGATTAAGTAGAATTCAGTAGAAATTCAGTGTGGATTAAGTAGTGGATTCAGTTGAAAAGATCTGGGGAAGAGAATGGGTTGAGGACCTACTCTCATTCCAGAGTTTGAAAAGGATAAAACAAGAAGAAGATGAACTGAAAGTTGTTTTTCGAAATTATTATCAAAGATAAGTAGGAAGGAAGAGGTAGGAGGGAGTCTGGCCACACACCCCCAGGTAAAAGACCAACTCCACAGTTCAGCAACCATTTTTTAAAGTCTATTTTGGATACATACTTAAATGAAATTGGTGTCTTTATTTTAAAATTTTTTCTCCTCCTTTTGCATTTTTTTGTGAGGTCATGTTGGTTTATAAAGTTTTGGATGCATGGCTTCACACCTTTACCACTGTGTATGCCACGCTGTGCCCACCCCCTGAAATCAGTATGGTTAAAAATGGCTACCTTGCTTAGCACCCTAAATTACAGAAAGGTGGATGGCATAATGGATAATGATGCATGACAATGTCTGCGTGTCCAGCAATTAAGTCCCTTAGAAAATTCTGTCTGCCTTGAAATTACCTTGAATGTATAAATCAATTGGAGAAGAATTATGTTTTAAATGTTGACTTTTCCCTTCCATAAATATTGTATTTGTTTCCTTTTTGTCACAGCTCCTTTGATGTTCTCAACAATGTTTTATAATTTCTTCTATAGTTGAATGACAGTTTTAATCAAGTTTGCTTCTAGTAGTGCTGGTCATTTTTGTTGGTAGTATGATTGGAATCTTTTTTTTCTATTGTATTTTAAAATCAGTTAAAGTGCTTAGAAGAATAGTTAAGAGAATGAATTAAACTTAGTATCATGTGGTTTTATTTCTAAAACAACATGCTGGGAGAAGAAAAAACAAGATATGAAATGAGAGATGTGATACTGTATCATTAATGTAGAGTAAAAGTGAACACAAAGTATTATATATTGTTTGAAGATAAGGATATCTATCTCTGTAAAAGTATAAGGGAAAACTGTTTGGAGTGATATATATATATATATATATATATATATATATATGAAATTGGTTATAATATTTCTTCCTGGAGTGAGGGGTAAGTTGAGTAGTTAAAGGGAACTTTAGGGGTCTCCCTGGTGGAGCAGGGGTTCAAGTCTCAGCACTATTAAGTTTTGTCAGCCACTAAGGCATGAGTTCCATCCCTGGCCGGAGCTAACCCAAATGGTGTGGCCCACCTCTCCTGTCTCGCCCGCTGCTCCCCTCGGCAGTCTGTTTCAGTCAATCTGCCTGTTCTGCTCCCCACTCTGTCTCTGGTGAATCCTCTCACCCCCTGACCCCCACCTCTGGCCTACATCCCAGTTTAGTATGCATAAATAAATAAAAATAAATCTTAAAATAAATAAATAAAGGGAAATTTATTTAATCTCTGCTTCATAGGAAGGAAGGAATGGAAGAAAAAGAAAGAAAGAAAGAAAAAAGAACCAAAACAATTATGACAATATGGTAGCAGTTGCTAATTCTAATGGGGGAATTACAGATATTTAAGTTTTGTTTGTAAATTTTGGCTTTTCTTAACCTACCCGATTCCCTTGTATTTGTCAGCTTGGACAGTTTCCAGCTTTAAAAAAAACAAGTAGACTATTTTTTAGAGACGTTTCGGGATTACAGAAAACTTGGGTATAAAATACAATTTCCATAGACGCCACGTACCTGCCATCCTCCCATAAGGAACACCACATCCTGGCTGGCTTAAGTAACAGTTTAGTTTCTCACAGTTCTGGGGACTAGAAGATCCAGTGTCGGCAGGGTTGGCTTCTGTGCTTTCTCTCATCCTGCCTTGTAACCTTCTCTCTGCTATGTCCTCACACGGTCTCCTCCCTGTGCCTGGGCAGAGAAGATCACACAAAGGGCACACGGGGGTGCTCCAGTGCCTCTCCTCTTTGGGAGAACCCCAGCCTTTGGGAACAAGGCCTATCTTATGACCTCGTTGAACCTTAACTACCTCCTCAATGGCTTATCTTCAAGTACACTAACATGGGGGGGGCGGGGGCGATTTTAGTACATTGGGCTGTTGTGCCAGAATATCAGAGAACAGGCGACTTCTAAGTAACAGAAATTAATTTCTCACAGTTGTGGAGGTTTGGACATCTGAGAGCAGGGTGCCGGCACAGTCAGGTTCCAGTGAGCAGGTGCTTGCTCCCAGCTTGCCCACCTCAGACTTCTCATTGTAGCCTTGCAGGGCGAGAGCTCAGAGAGGAAGCAAGCTCTTATGATTCTGAGAAGGGCATGCATCCCTTTCATGAGGCTTCCATCCCCCAAACCTCATCTAATCCAATTACTTTCCAAAGTCCATGCCAACTAATACCATCACATGGGATTTGGAGGGTTTAAATGATATGAGGAGGGGTGACACACACACATGAACATTTAGCCCATAGCCAGGCTTTAAGGCTTTAATATGTGAATTTGTCATTCAATTCAGTCTATGTTTATAAATAAAAATATTTTTGAGGACTGAATCTCTCTTAGGTGTCTCTGTGACCAGATCCTTCTGCTTTGATGGATTATACACTTGAACCCAGTTTGACACCTGACTACTATTATCCCGAAGACATCTCAAGTCCCTGCAATGGGGAGCTGATTCAGAGTGACAGCAAGTTGCTTCTTGTCATCGTTTACTGCCTCCTGTTTGTATTTGGTCTTCTGGGAAACAGCCTCCTCATCCTGGTCCTCATCTCCTGCAAGAAGCTGAGGAGCATCACGGACATATACCTCTTGAACCTGGCCCTGTCAGACCTGCTTTTTGTGTTCTCCTTCCCTTTTCTGACTCACTATCAGCTGGACCAGTGGGTGTTTGGGGCCATAATGTGCAAGATGGTCTCTGGCTTTTATTATATTGGTTTCTTCAGCAGCATGTTCTTTATCACCCTCATGAGTGTGGACAGGTATCTGGCAATCGTCCATGCAGTGTATGCTGTAAAAGTGAGGACAGCTAGAAGGGGCACAGCCATGAGCCTGGCAGTGTGGCTGGCTGCCATAGCGGCTGCCAGCCCGTTACTGGTGTTTTACCAAGTGGACTCTGAAGATGGCATGCTAAAGTGTTACCCATATTACAATCAACAGGCTTCAAAGTGGAAGATCTTCATCCACTTTGAAATCAATATCTTAGGCCTGTTGATTCCATTCACCATCCTTGTGTTCTGCTACACCAGCATCCTCCACCAGCTGAAGAACTGCCAGAACCATAACAAGACCAAGGCTGTGAGGTTGGTGCTCCTGGTGGTCACTGCGTCTTTATTCTTCTGGGTCCCGTTCAATGTGGTCCTCTTCCTCTCGTCCCTGCACAATATGCACATCTTGGATGGATGCGTCATGAGCAAGCAACTGGCTTACGCCACCCATGTCACAGAAACCATTTCCTTCACTCACTGCTGTGTGAACCCGATAATCTATGCGTTCATGGGCGAGAAGTTCAAGAAACACCTCTCAGAAATATTTCAGAAGAGCTTCCTCTACTTTGGGAGGCAAATCCCCAGAGAGAGCAGAGACAGCTCGCCCACCTCCCAGCAGGCCTCCCGCTCCACCACCATGGACTACATTTTGTGAGGAGAATGCCTCTAAACTGGCCTCTGCCTGCCCCTCTGCTATTCTTTCAGGAGACGAAGATGACTTGCATTGGATTCTGAGGCTACACCAAAGCATGCTCTTAGAAATCTGGTTAGAGACACAGGACATGTGTCATGGTACTTAGTGAACATGTCAGCTTTCAAAGACTTTGTTACTATTTGCTGGAAATAGCCTACATATCTTACTCTGAAGTATAACATTAGATGTAGGGATTTTTTCCCTTCATTTTTAGTGTGTCTATCATACACCGATTTAAATTTTGTCAAATACTATCCCTTATATGTTGCGATGACCATGTAGTTCCCTTCATTATTCTGTTGATTTGATAAACTCCATTCAATCATTTTCTTATCTTAAATCAACATATACTTTCCTTAGAATAAAATGACTTCTTGATTACAATCAATTTAATAACTAATTGAATTTTGTGGGATTTTTTCAATCTGTCATCACAGGAGATACTGCCCTGTAACTTCCTTTCTTGCAATGTTCTGGTCAGGGATGATCTCCAAAAATATGTCGAGAAATATTCCCTTTTCCGTTACTCTCTGCAAGTTTTTGTGTAAAAAACAATTGGAATTATTTCCTCTTTAAATGCTTGGTGAAATTCATTAGTGAAACCATCTGGGCTTTCCCTGTAGGAAGGTTTCCAAGTATGCATTCAATTTCTTTGGCAGATAGAGATATTTAAATGTTCTCTTTTTGCTTGTCTCAGTTTTAGGAAGCTACGATTTTTAAGAAATTGTCCCACTTCATCTAAGTTGTCAAACATACAAACAAAGTTATCCTAATATCTTCTTCTAGTCTTCTTAATGCCTGAGAATTTGAAGTAATGTCCCTTTTCATTCTTTTTTTTTTTAAGGATTTATTTATTTATGCATACAAGAGCTGGGGTACAGGCCAGAGATGCGGAAGGTGAGAGGATCCACCAGAGACAGAGTGGGGAGGATAGCAGGCAGATTAGCCGAAGCACTCTGCTGAGGGGAGCAGCAGGCGAGCTAGGAGAGGTCTGCTGTGCCATGTGGGTCTCTCCCTGGCTGGCCGGGGATGGAACTCATGCTGCAGAAGCTGCGGATTGCTTCATAGTGCAGTGCTTAACCCCTTGCACCACCAGGGAGGCCCCTCCTTTTCATTCTTGATATTGGTCATGTGTGTCTTTTCCCTTCCTTCCGCAGGTGCAGACCCCAAGAGCACTGTCAAGTAAACCCAGTCAGTCTCCAGCTCAGACTCTGCTCCTGCCACCAGCTCCATTCAGAAAGTGAAAAGGCAGACACAGAATGGGTTTAGATAATGGGCTTATAGTTGCACAAAACAAAACTAAGATATAAGGGCTTCTTCTGGATTTCTGCTTTCAACAATCTTCCCCATCAGACAGAGAGTGAATTGCATGGTATAACAATAAAATTATAACAATAAAACAATAAAAACAATGCAGCCCCCCAAACAAACAACACTCAACAGGGCCCACAAGACCCTGCAGAGCCAGCCTGACCTGGCCCACCTCTGCTCCTCCTGCCCCAATCCTTCCTTCCTTTTGCCTTCCCAGTCATGCTGGCCTTTCTTGACTGCTGGGAGATTGATCTCCCTTATTTAATCAAACAGTTGTTGCTCTCAATTTTTATGTGGGCAGTGTTCTTTTTGTTTCTCTGAACTCTGGTTGTCTGTGTGTTGACACTTTTATTTCTCTTATACACACCTTGTAGCTTGATTTTCTATTTCTTTATTATGTTTTTCACACGGACACAGTGAGCACTCAAAAAATATCTGCCTAGTTGAAATGACGGTAGGAGGGATGTGGGTAATGGAGAAAGACATTTACATGTTTAGGCACCTTCTCTGAGCTGGGCACTTGACGAGCATTTTCTCCTTAATCTTCAAAGAGTTCTTCTAAGTAATTATTGTTAACCCAGGAGGCAGCCAAACTGGAATTCCAAAGCATGACGTCTCCAAAGTCACAGGAGTTCCACCCTATATCGTGTATCCGTCAACAAGTCCACAGTTGTGCTCACACACGCCCGGTGCTCCTGGCTGCCTGACCTGGAGCTGGCAGGGCTCTGCAGGAGGGCGTGCCTCTGAGTTCCGCCAGCCCGGCGGGAGGGGCCACCAAGCTGTCAAGGCCAAACTGGACCAGCTCTGTGGCTGGTGTGCTAATTGGGGCAGAGCTCTGACTTGCTGCCAGACTACTGCCCGCCAGGATTTTTCTCTTTCCCACCAGCCAAGACCATTTGAGCAGAAAACACTTACAAAGGGGGATGTAACTCTCTGTCAAGAACCATGCCAGGCTTTTTCGTGGGGACATTGAAGGTACACATTGAAGGGCTTGACCTGGACCTTTCTCATCCATTTACAACAAGACGTATTTGCTGTAAACTAACCACTCTCAGTGCTGAGGCAGTCATTTGTAAAATAAGGAGGGTGAGGATGGTGATGGTGTCTTTCTTGCCTGCTCTGCAGAGCGCCTGTAACCTGTGAACCTCTCTGTGCACGTAAAAGATTAATAATTATTACTGCAATAAAAATACATAGTATACAGGGCCTTACTGGTGGCGCAGGGGTGAAAGTCTCGGTGCTATAAAGCTATCGCCAGCCACTGCGGGGCATGAGTTCGATCCTGGCCAGGGAGCAGACCCACGTGGGACATCAGACCTCTCCCATCTTGCCAGCTGCTCCCTGCAGCAGTGTGATTCAGTAGGATCTGCCTGTTCTGCTCCCCACTCTGTCTATGGTGGATCCTCTCACCCCCTACACCTCTGGCCTACACCACAGTCCTTGTATGCATAAACAAATAAAAATAAATGTTAAAAAATCACACAGTATATAGCGTTTTGCTTGCTGTGTTACCTTGGATGACTTCCTTTAACTGTTCTGTGTTTCAGTTTCCTCATATGTAAAACTCTTCCCTCTGATTTGTGTAAGTATAGTTATGAAGCGATGCTCTAGCGCCACCTACCTACTCGATGACAGTAACAGTTTCACCTACATTAGGATAGAATCAGAGCTCCTACTTACCGGTGGTGTGTTTAAGAATGTGTATCAAGGAAAGACCAAAGAACTGTTTCCGATTAAAGGAGACTAAAGATACAACACAGAAAACCCAAATATGTGGTCCTGAATTGGATTCTGGACGGTGGTGAGGCTAGGTGGGGAGAAAGCCACTGTGAGGACAATTGGTGAAATTTGAATGTGCACACTGTAATATAAGCATGTATTAAAATAAGCATTTAAAAAGATAAAGCAGGGCCACCCCTGGTGGCGCAGCGGTTGCACGCTGGGCTGCGAAGCTGCCCGCAGCCTCTGCAGCACCGGTTTGATCCCCGGCTGCTCCCCGGCCACCGGAGGAGGGTCCCACATGGCGCGCAGACCTCTCCTGCCGCCCGCTGCTCCCCTCAGCAGTGTACTTCGGTCCTTCTGCCTGCTCTGCTCCCCGCTCTGGCTCTGGTGAATTCTCTCACCCTCCCGCGCTTCTGACTGTACCCAGTGCTTGTATAAATAAATACATAAATAAATCTTTAAAAAAAAAAAAAGGATAAAGCATAGAAACAGAACAGTGCTTGGAATAGATCAAAAGCACAATAATAATACCTGTTTTTACCTAGTAGGATGTAAGCCCTGTGAGGGCATCGATTTCTTTTGTTTTATTCACTGTTGTTATCTCCTGTGGCTGGAGCAGTCCCTGACACAACTTTTGTCAAATGAATAAACTGGCCTTTTTCAACAAGACAGTTAAGAATTAAGGCAAGGTGTCCAGGGCCACCTGCTCTCATATGCAGAGACTGAGGTTATCCACTCTGGCACCTGGTCACTGTGGGTCTCCTTAGTAACCCTGTTCATTGTGTGATCGATTGAATTGTTGGGTCAATACGGCAAGAAAACGAATCTGGCAGTTCCAAAAATCAAATGCATTGGTAATCTATTAACCCACAATTGCTTGGGCCTCCCTGGTGGCGCAAGGGGTTAAGCATAGCACTGTGAAGCTATCCACAGTGATTCCTGGCCAGCCAGGGAGCTACCCACATGGCATAGCAGACCTGTCCTGTCTCACCTGCTGCTCCCCTCAGCAGTGTATTTCACTCGATCTGCCTGTTCTGTTCCCCACTCTGTCTCTGGCGAATCCTCTCACCCCCGGCACCTCTGGCCTGTACCCCAGTTCTTGTGTACATAAATAAATAAATCTTTGAAAAAACCCTCACAATTGCTTGATGACCCTACTAGCTCTGCTCCTTAGTGTTTTGTCTGGAGTGAGAGACAGGCCAGGCTTTTGAGTGTGGCCTCTTTTCCACCTAGGCCTGTGCACCTGTGTGCACTTGGCCTCTCCGTGCACCGATGTGTGTGTGACAGATTTGGATAAGGCACTCCCTCATGACTGCCTTGAGACAGGGGCCCATGTCACGAGGTGACCGGGGACACCTAGGTAGCCATTGACTGATTGTGTGGTCAGGGTCCGAGACAGTCTGGGAGTAGCTCGAAAATTATACCATGCACCTGCATGGGAAATATTCCCTATACATGTGGCCAACAGATCCTCCCCTGGTCCCCATAAAATTATGACCCTTTGATCCTTTTGAAGTCCTGCCCCTCATAAGATGAATGCCCTTTGTTTCCCCTGGACCCTGCTTCTCCTGCCATTGTCATATAATCAATCATGCTTGTTCACTATTACTAAACAAATAGCAAGAGGGCTGCTCTCTCAGTAGCAGTCTTGCTTTTGCAAATCTGCTCCACAACTCATTTATCAACTGTGCCCCCAGGAGCATGCTGGCATGCTCCTAACCACCAGATTTGTGCTGACCTTTTTGACCATATGGGGACAAGGCTCTGATGGGCTGGAATGGTGCCTCAGGCCAATACTCAATTACTAGGAGGAAGGCTTACCTTTATAAGGAGATTTGGCTGGCAAATCTTGGCTGGACATCATGCTGCAAAGAAGTCTCAAATGGCTGGGAAAGCAACAAAATGCAGCACCCCTTCTCCGGGCCCTGCCTGGCCAGCCCTGGATGCCCAGGTCAGCCTGGATGGCTGCCCAGCCTATCACTGTGAGTATCCTGTAGCTTA